ATGAGGCCTTATGATTACTTGCATTATTTACATTATTTGGACTATTAGCCTCATCATCATTCCCATATGAACAACGTTTCGGCCGTTGTACGATCCGGCCTTCCCCAGGTGATTGGAATTTCAAATAATAGACAGAGAGCATCACTGGAAAATACGAAAACTTAAGGAATCAGCACATATGCTCGGCCACAAAAATCTCCCAAGCCGACCAAGCATAGAAATAAATACAATATGGGAACCAGTAATAAGGAGTGCTAGTGAAAATCAATGAATAACAACAAAAATTGCAATATAAGCTCTGGTAAAAAATAAATAAATAAATAAATAATAACAGAAAAATTGCAATATGAGCATTGGTAAGAAAATGATTGCTGAGTAATTAGGTTTATAAGTCCTAGAAATTCATACGCAGATGTCCTCAAGGACACATGGCCCAGTGAATAAAGGTGTTGATTAGATCCAGTGACTAGACCCAAAATGTTGTGTGGACACAGCAGAGGTGAAGTAAAACTTCGAGAGTTGGAAGTTAAAGGGAAATAACTGAGACATCCGCAGCATTCGATGACCGAAACGCTGTGAATATGGCAATAAGAATAACAGTTCGAATAATGCAAGTAATTTTTATTTTGTATTATTTTCTGTATTATCTTATCCGGACTTTATTTTTGTTCAAAAATAAGAAAAGAACCTCGACTAATTATTGATAGAGTAACCATCTTCTATTTGGCAAAGATTTTGTTCATTCGTGTAAGCTTCATAAATGTTACTACGTGCCAATATTTGCCCTGTCTTTCTTCTTGTTAAAAACCAAATAATTACGGGCTTTGCGTAACCCTAAAAAGAATATAGTGGTTCAATAATCTGGTGGTATTTACGGTGTATGATGAAAAAGATGCTCTGATATTTCAACAGGATTTTTCAGAAAAATTCTAGTCTAAAATTGTAATGACTAAATTTTGCCTTTATGAAAATCTCATCTCTAAATTAACAAGACGATTTTTTGAAGATTTAGTGTGAAACTTGTGCCTGGTGTTTTTTCGCAATTTCTTCAATGTTTGGTCGAATGATAAACAGACTATAATTTCTTCTTCAGCTCAACGTAGTTTTTCTTGCTTCTTATTTTTGATGTTATTTAGAGTTGGGAAGCCTAATTCACATAAATAAGTAGAAAATTGCAATAAAATTGATAAAGCATTTTTAACTAATGTGGGATAAACCCTTTGTATTGAAATCCAAAGTGTATCAATGGATACAGTCGAATGTTTTTCTTTTGAGCCCTTAAAAACATAAAACTATTTTTTTTAAATGAATAATAAAACAAAGTAATTAAAATAAAATAATCGAAGAATAATAAAAAAAAATATTTAAAAAAAAATTAATACTTTTTCATTTATTCAAATACTAACGCTCTACCATTACTACTTCCACACACACACACATATATATATATATATATATATATATATATAGGGCGGGGAAGCAAAATTTATAAATGTCTTTCAATTCCTGTCTCAAAATATTGTAAATTTTGCTTCCCTACCCTGTATATATACTCGACTCTCCCGTCGAATTCAATGTATGAGGGTCAAGCAGATCAGTTCCTAGGAAACCGACAGCCTGACAACAGCACATGAGATTTGATTATAGTGGTGAAGGTTTCGTGCAGGACCATCCACACTTTTTGAAGGACCGAATACAGAGAGCTGGTGCACTACGTGCCACAGGGTCCCCAAACGATCTTCTGCAGGTTTTGAATTCTGAGTTGTCCTTCTTCTAGAGTAGTTGCTATCCAAGGCTACAGAACCCAGTCTGTCCTGCTATTTACCCATAACTGGAGGGAGAAGAAGAGGATTCACACCTTTTCCAAGGGTATCACCATGTAAGTGAATGTAATGGATTCGACTGGAATTCGAACTCGGCTCTCCGATTCCTCAACCCAATCCGCTACCCATTACTCTCTCTCTCTCTCTCTCTCTCTCTCTCTCTCTCTCTCTCTCTCTCTCTCTCATATAATATGCCGTGACTATATTTCGCGGCACATGTAAGAGGAGAGGGTGGCACATTATTGAGCCGCAGCACGGCTCTTGGGAATCACTAGTCTATTTCATTCATTCGTTATTTTGGATTTTTTTCGAGGGAATATTTTTATTCTTGTCATATTTTTCTGCTTTTTCTTACATCCAACCCGTTCTCCAACCGTCTTCAGCTGGAATTATTGGCCTGTACCAAGTTAGTTTTGCGTCAGATAATTGCAATGCGTTGTGGGATAACTTCCTTTTCATTCTCTTTTTTATCCGCTCTCCGTTCGGCCTTCAAGTTCTACACACTAATTATCTGACTTTGTCTCTACTGAAAGAACATAAAAGTCTTCGTGAAATCACGGCATTAAGGATCTTTCAAAATCGAACCCCGAAACAGAAAGACCATAAAATATTTCAGAATCTTCTGAGAAAAATGATCAGTGCCATTGATGAAAGGAACAATCGTTTCTTTGACGACTTGGCCTGCTTAAAATAACTTCAACAATGAAAGTTTTATTTTCGTTCGAACAGCAAAGAGAAATTTCTTCAAACACATCAGAATGGTACCAAAAGAAAATTCCGTTATACGATGCTTTCTAATCAATTTTATAAAATAAATGTCAAATGACGCTAGCAAAAATACACACTTATGAAAAAATATCTCGACAAAAAGATTTGTTGTTGTAATAATGAACTAAGGCTCTTCACAAGGCTCTTTAACCCGAACATATTTTCGGTTAGATACAAATTCTGATCTCAATGCAGCAGAATTTGACTCAGTTTGTCCAAATATATTGCCAAAGTTGGTGCCAATGCAGTGAACTGAAGAACGCCATGTTAGACGTATCGATTTATATTCTCTTAACCTTATGTGTCATGTTCATTAAGGAAGTTAAAGATTATGGCTCTCCACAACATCCTACCTTTACTTTCAATAATCTTTTAACTCTTTACAATGCTTCCTTTTTCCTTCTTTGGTCATGCATTCAATCAAATTTGTTTCGTTGCGGTTCCAACCATTTCTCTCTGTCCTAAAAGTGTTAAATTATCCAGGTGGCAAAAATTCAACTCGTTCTGATTGTAAATATATGTTCCGTTTTTCCTATTTTCTTTAAATCTTCCTTGTTGTTACCGTGCTCTTTCCATGGCATTTTAGTATTTATCGGTGGAACCACATCTTTAAGTCTCTTCTTCATCATTGAAGAGATTGTCTAATATTCCCTGTCATATAGGAGATTAGATATTATATAGCAATTTAGCACGCTTTCCTTTATTGATGAGGACATTTCGGATTTCTCTGGCAATTTTGGCGTTGTCTGTTGTGATATCTGCCCAGATAGATGAAATCCATTTATATTAATCGAATAAATGTGTCCATACTATGAACGAAACAGTCGAAAAGCTTGAATTCTGCTCTGGGTGCAAGGTCGGTGACGTTCATTAACACTTACATAGCTTCATGTCTCATTGAAAGTAAGATGATCATTTAAAAAATGGGATAGATAGATAGATAGATCGATAGATAAGGAACAGTCTTCAACTCGCACTGAAGTGGTTATGGCTTCCCTTCTCCACCCCACCCACGATTCTCAATAATCAATCAATCTCATGGAATTCTCGTCTTCGATTCGATTTTAGAATTATTCAAACTTTGCAGGTTGTTCTTGTCAGTTCTCATCTACATTCGCGGGAAAAGATCTTTTTACTGACCTTTTGCCATTTCGAAAATAGATTTGTTCATTGTCGATCTCGGAAGTGCCGACCATGAACGGAGCTGGGGCAGAGGAGGAGGCCGAACAAGTTTCCTCTCTCTCTCTCTCTCTCTCTCTCTCTCTCATTTTGCCGAGAGCAAAGGCCATGCCACTGACGGTGTCGGCAGGGTGGAGACATGTACTCTACCCTCAATCCGACAACATAAAATTGAGAAGAAGCAGAAACACTTGTCCAAACTTTACAATGCAACATGGTTATAAAAAAACAAAATTTTGCTTTTTCATTAATTACTAATTTAAATTTACCCGTAAAAAAAGCGTTCTGAGTAAGAAGATAAACTACATCCAACAGCAAGGCCTCTGATCAGGAAGTTTTGAGGAGCGTGGAACCACCTCTTAATTGCTGATATTTCCAGCTACACCCTGACGCGGGGTGGTAGCACCTGTTAGGGCCCCAGCTATGGGCAAATAGTTAACTCTGAAACTGGGGTCAAAACGCTATAAAAGTGTAAAAATTGGTTTTAATGCCAGCAATACATTTTTGTAAGAAATCATTACCAGCAATACTTTTTGAAATAACAACATTACCAGCCAACAAAATCTGGTCGACATTAAATAACCCATTGAGGTGTTGATGTGCCGTAAAAAGAAACAAACTAAACCGAACTGTAAAAATAATGAGTGAATTATTTCTTCTACATGAATCGGCGGTTCTGTTTTGGATCAGAGTATCCGCAGATTCTGCTTATGAGAATGAATTGGGGAAAAGCCAGCAGGCGGAGAAAGAAAGATATCTGGCCTGACTGAAGAAAGGGAGAAAGTAAAAAAAAGAAAACTAAAGAAAAACGAAAAAGAAAAGCAAGTGGAATGAAATGAGAAAGAAATGGCAACGAAAGAAAGACTTGAGCTGATAGGATTTTGGTTGATTCTATTAATCATTTCCTCCTTTGTTCTTTTAAAGCGGAAGAAAGCTTATTTAAGTTTCTTTCTCTTGCAACACTATGGACGACACATTACGTAAGAATTTAGATAGATAAACAATATTAATATAGAAAGATCGCAAATGTCATCATCACAAATGATTTAATCGATTTGTCCTTTGGCTTACCTCAATATTAATTATTTTCAATATTCCATGAAATGTTCTGACTAATATCCTTATCTTTGTTGTTTCTATCGTTTCAGTCTACGTGATCTGAGGTTTATTGCTCTGTTTTACAAACCTGTCTCAGTGAATGATCAAATTTGTAAAAATTGTTTCGATATACTAAGGAACAAAATAGATAGATAGATAGATAGATAGATAGATAGAACATAGATAGATAGATAGATAGAACAGATAGATATAGACAGACAGAGATAACAGATAGATAGATAGATAGATAGATAGATAGATATGAACAGACAGAGATAGATAGATAGATATGAACAGACATATGAACAGATAGATAGATAGATAGATATGAACAGACAGAGATAGATAGATAGATATGAACAGACAGAGATAGATAGATAGATAGATAGATAGATATGAACAGACAGAGATAGATAGATAGATAGATAGATAGATAGATATGAACAGACAGAGATAGATAGATAGATAGATAGATAGATATGAATATGAACAGATAGATAGATAGATAGATAGATATGAACAGACAGAGATAGATAGATAGATATGAACAGACTGAGATAGATAGATATGAACAGACTGAGATAGATAGATAATAGGAATAGATAGATAGATAATAGGAAAAGACTCTAATAGATAGATGGATTGATTTAGATTTAATCTGGTTTTAGCTTTTATTATATATTTTCGATCAGCATAATATCAATGAGGTGAAGAATTTAACAAATCTTGAACCTGAGATTATTACGATTTAATTGTAAGCATGACTTTCCTGGAGATGCCAACAAACATGTTTGCTGGAATATTTTCATATTTAAATATAAGCGATTTACTTTTGTCGGTATGAGTCGGACAGTTGTTTCGAAATCCCGTATTCACCTTGTCTTCCACTGAACAGCGGCACTGATGCTGAGTCAGGATAAATTTGAAAGTCCAATGATTCTAACTTACTCCTTCGTCGGATTGATTTCATTCAAAGTTAAATATTTATAGTTAGAAACTAGTGACATTGAACCTGTCGACAACTAGGTGAACCTTTAATAGGAATAACAAACATCAACTGGTGCATTAATATATCAAACGTGTAGGCTTTAAGTTTAGAATCGATGTGTCTTCTGAAAACGGAAGACAAAACTGCAGGATTTTCACGACTGAACAGAAAGTTTTATTCTTTGTAATGATTTTTAGAGGTCAAAGTTGAATTTTGACCTCTAAAACATTCATGAAACATTCATGAAACATTCATGAAACACGCCCTTTCATCTCGTTACTTGTTTGCCATTTGCGTCTTAAAAAAAAACATGATTTCAAAATGAACATAAAAAAGTTTTTTTTAAGTCAAAACGTCGTAAAATATATATTTTTTAAAAAGCGCTCTCAAAGCAAGAGCTACCATCTGTGGCTAAAGTTAATGTTAATTTTATGAACTGAAGGACGGCATATAGAAAAGTATTTATTTATAATCTTATTTTATATACCATGTTATTTCAGGATCTTTTAATTGAGATTTTAATAAAGAAAAAAACATATTCAATCTTTAAATAATCAACACATTATCTCGGTATAATTTCTAAGTCAAATGTTTAAAATCGCCAGTAAGAATTTTTTTTTTTATCATTTCATCCCATGCAAGTGGATAATGGCATAAGGACGTAATAGATACTGCGAATAAAAAAGAATGAGAAGACTTTAGTGAGATGTGAATAGAAAAGACAATAAAGGAGGAGGATTCAGGAAGACAGAAGATTGCAGTCGAGGTTGCATTTATTTTTTTTAAATTGTAATTGGCAAGGAAGCAAATAATCAGAAGGGTGTTCAAGAAAGAAAATTATCAGAAAAGAACAGATAGTTGAATGTCGTTAGTTCAAAATTAAAACGGTCGGACCTAGTTGCCAATCTAGTAGCACGCTTAAATTCTTGCAGTCGAAGCACCAAATACAAAAATTTATCAGGACAATTGCCATGAAAATAATCCTATCTATGGCATTCCTATCCCAAACCCTTCGAAATAAATATACATAATTTACAAAAAACAATCCCCATGAAACCTTTATAACTGGCCACCAGCCGTCGAGAGAGGGTTAAACAATCTCTTAGCATAGTCCATTATCATTAATATTTATTCTTATTCTTGTAAATATCTTGAACTCCTGTCATAGAGCGAATGGTGAGGACGCTGCATTCATGCATCATTAGCAGGCGTAGTTGCGCTAATCCTCACCGGGTGCTATATTATTGCGACCTTGCACCAGACTAATCTATGATTAGTAAATATCTATAAATTTATTTGTCTGACACAAGTTTGGCGTGCCTATTAAAGGTTGAATTACTGATTGCCAGACGAAGCTAAGTTTAGGCAACTGCAGTAGAGCGACTTCTTCTGATACTTTGGGTGAATATTAGATCGTGTCGTGAGTTCGAATCTCACTGGATGCAATGGTGTATATATTTATTTTATTTTTTTTATTTTTTTTTTTTGAGGATTGCAAATTTTTTCTAGGCTTCAAAAACTTTGAAATGAAATTTATAATTTTATTTTAATTTTGGCTACTCCACCAATGTGGGCGTACTTGCATGGTAGGTGCAGACTGCACAACAACTATCAGAACTACAACAAAAACATTTACAAAGAACACAGATTTTTTCAACATTTTATTAGAGATATTTATTCTCGTAAAATATTTCTCTCTGTAAAAAGCCAAAGAAAATCTATTTTTCACTATAAACAACCAATGAAAATTTATTTCTCTTTATAAACAATAATAAAATAATTTTATGTAGAATCAGTACAAGCATATTCCTTCCCAGTTGGAGGAAATGGCAATGAACGAATTCTTTAGGAAGGAGTAAGTCTTAAAGAAAATGGCAACAGAACGAATACTTCTACTCAAAATCAGGAAAAGGAAGCTGAAAATCCTTGGACACATAATGAGGAAGGAGGGCTTGGAGAACTTAACCCTCAAAGGGCATATTGATAGCAAGAGAAATAAGGAAAGGCAACGAGTCACTTATCTAAGCAGCTTGTGTGAATGAATGACGTAACTGGGTGGCGGGAGTCTTAGAAAAGTTAGAAAAATTGTTAAGAGACACACGAGATAAGAGGTGGGGAGGGCCATGATCGCCTACGTCCTGAAATGAATTCAATATGTGCAGGTCAATATATGAAGGTGTTTTATTCAACAAAATCACTTACAAAAGAAGAGAACATTATATTTACGTGTATTCTTCTTCGATGTTTCCCTTCAGGACGTGGGAGTACATGGTTCTCCACAATTTCCTTAGTAAAATTTGTATATTTGCTATTTCTCCTAATCCCTGTTCGGCCAACTATCCATACAATCATTGTTGAGGAGGTGATACGTTGCACTTGCCTTTCTATTCCTTGTGTCTTCAATATGTCCTGTGAGTTTTACACTTATACAGATAGGTAAAGAAAAGAAAAGAAAACGTTTATGTAGTTAGCAGTAGCGGGC